AAAAGTTATTTAAGTTGTCAGTGAGTGGTGGGCCACCCTGTATATATATATTAAATTAAAGCTTATATAATATATTTTAATATTAAAAAAAAATTTCGGACATTATTTTGTCTTCACGGTGAAAACAGACATAAAAGTTAATAAAAAAAACGGTAGCACAGAGAGGTCGCGACACAGTATGGACGTGGCATCGTTGGGACAAGTATATATGATATCTGACAGTGATTAAAATCACTATCATAAGAAATATTTCGATGCTAATCTGTAGATAGTGTTTAATTCTAAGAAATTTGTAGATTATTTCAAAAGGAACAATAATAACTCTTTTTCCTTAATTTTATCCCGATTAGTTATTTGATTTATAATTATAATACATGAATAAATAATAATTATAGTAATTAAATTTAGTATGAAATTTATATTCAATAATTTAATATTGTAATTATTATTTATTCATGTATTATAATTATAAATATAATATTATAAATTATAATATAAAAATAATAAAGTAGTTGTATATTTCTTTAATTTTAACGCGTTAAAAATGTTTGTTACTTATAACAAAGTTTTATACATTGGACTACAAGGAACTTTTATTAGAAAAAAAATATACTTTTCTAAATCAACTTTTCGCGATGTTTTCAAATATGCAATTAGACATTTACTATCACTTCTAGTTTTAATATTAGAACTTATAATTAAAAAATAAGTATTTACAGATAACAAAAAAAACCCAGCACAGGGGGGTCGTGGCACAGTGGTGACGTGGCATAGATGAATCAAGTATAATGATATCTGACAGTGATTAAAATCACTATCAAAAAAATATCTTCGATGCAAATCTTTAGATTGTATTTAATTTTAAAAAAATTGGTGTATTATTCCAAAAGCTACATGATCTGCTAGTTCCTTATTAATATCTTGATTAAGATAAAGTATGTCAAATGAAAAAGGGATTATTAAAAAATATTATTTCTCATAAAAAAATTGTGTTGATCCATACACTTTTCAATAAGTTATAGCATTATAAAGTCAAAAATGTAAATTATAAAATCGAAAATTTTCACACAAAAATAGCATTTGGTAGCCGTTTTCACCATGAAGACAAGTCCAGAGGTCAAATTTTTTTTTTTCAAATTAAAGTACATTACATTAGCTTTAATTTAAGATATATATAAAAGTGTCAGACCTTCCGGAACATTTTCAAAAGTTAAGTTGAAAAAGTTAATTTTTTGTGAAAAAGTTGTCATTTTAAATCCCCCCCAGTGGGCCGAAAAAAGGTCAAATTTACAAAAAAAATTATATTGATATGTTCATTTTTGAAAAAGTTACGGCAGTTTTTAGTAAAAAAAATTGAAAAAATTTCGAAAATTAGCGATTTTTAAATTTGTAATTTTTTTGGAGGTTTCCCCCATTTACGGGGAACGAGGGAATTTTTTTCAATTTTTAAGGGTAATGTCTTCGACTAGATACNCCCCCATTTACGGGGAACGAGGGAATTTTTTTCAATTTTTAAGGGTAATGTCTTCAACTAGATACGATTTGTGATGTTTTGACGTATTTTTGAAAGAAATCGGTCCAGTGAGAGCTGAGAAAAAGTGGCAACAGATATAAAAAAAAAAAAAAAAAACTCATCATAGTAAAATCAATACCTTCTCAGCTTCGCATCGAAGCTAAAACGGTATTGAATCTTTTTAAGTTTATTTATTTGTCCAGATTGATATGAACCTTAAATTAAGGACTCATATTCAATTATGAATATTTTTAAAGCACAAAATAAGGTACACAGGTTTTAAAGTAAATTGATTTTTTACTAACAAAGCGATATGAAATATTATTTTAAGACCGGTCATGATACTATATTTTTAATGTAGCAAGAGAAACATTGAAGTTGGATGACAATAAAAAATAATTTATTAAAACATTAGCAAAAATCTAAAATATGCTTATTTGCTTGAAATGTTAACGGATGTATCCGCGTTTTTAGTTATGAGCGGACCTTTCGGATTCGTTTCAGAGTCCACCTTCAGAGCGATAGTTACAGACTCGTGGTTTTAACTATATTGTATAATTATGATGATTTATAAGGAAAAAGGCGCTCATTGTTTTACAAACTATTAAAATTTTTAAATTACAGGAAAATATATTTTTATTCAAAAAACTCTACAATAATATGTAGTTAAATTATTTTTTTCACATTTTTAGAAATAAAAAACCTTTATATAAAACTTTATATAAAACTTTTAATGATTATGTCCTTTATCTAAACATAATAAAATTCAAGTTTATGTATTAAATCATATATTGATAAAATTATTAATCTTCTTCTTCTTGTGGGTTATGGTCTTCCAGACCATCTCTGCTAATAAATTTGCCGCCATCTTTTTCTATCTTCAGCAAATTTTTCCATTGTACATTTGGTTCTACTGCTTTATCTCATTTGATATGATCCTCCCATCGTAAAAGCGGTCTACCGAACGGTTTTTCCCAATCGGATTTTCTTTATAACTGTCTTAATAAATGAGCCATCTTTTTTTCTAACATACCCAGCCCCTATTTACCTTACCCTTGTAATTTCTGCAATAATATCTGGTTTTTGAAACAAGTTTTTAATTCACCATTGTGGCGTATCCTCCTTCCCCAGTGTCAGAGTGGATACCTAGTCCATAAATTCTTCTTCAAATTTTTCCGTTCGAACACTGCAAGTCTTGTTTCTTCTACCTCTCTAATAGTCTTTGTCTTAGAACCATACTTGTCTTAAAACTACTGGTCTTATCAGGATGCAATTGTATTTTTTATTTTATTGATAGGATATTTGAGCCAAACATACTTCCTAAGTCAAAAGAACATCTATTTTCCATTTGTATCCTAGTGTCCCCCTCTATCTCAAAGTCATTATCTAGTGTTATTATGGATCCTAGGTATATAAAATGTGGCGATCTCTTAAACTTATGATGTTCTATTTCAATAACTTCTCTTTGTAGGTATTCTCTACTTCTTCGACCAATTATGACAAACTCCGTCTTTTTGTCGTTGATCTATAGACCACACTTGTCTGTTATTCTATTTATTAGTTTTCTATAATGTTGTTTCACAATATCTAAATTATTATCTAATACGGCTAAGTCATCGGTGTATGCTAGTAATCCTATTGTCGTGTTACTAATCGCAACTCCTTCATTTTTTCTAACACTATATTAAAGAAAACGGGAGAGAGCATCTCCTTGTCTTAAGTAAGTAAAATTAAAACTATATTAAAAATATTATTAATTTAAAAAACTAAAAAATATAAAAAATCTTGTCTTAAGCCCGTAGATATTTTTCCTGTATCTGATGCTGTACTCGCAACTTTAATTTTAATCTAAGTGTTTTCAAGGTTTGCCTTAATCAAGTTTACTAGCTTTGTCGGGAAATAAAATTCTTTTAATATATTGATTAAGATTGATCAATTAATTGAATCATATGCTTTCTCAAAATCAATAAATATAATGTATAGATCTTTGTTCTATTCCCATGACTTTTAGATAATTTTACAAATACATAAAATCTGATCCGTTTTAGATCTGTTATCATTAGTTATTATATTCATTCTTTGAATTTCTTTAGCAGAGTCAACACAATTAAGGAGTTTCACAAAATATTCAGTACACTTCTCCAATAGCTTCCCTTGTTTAGTCACTAGCATCCCATCATCTCCTCTTAGTGTGTTATGTGTTTCTTTTTGGTATCATTTATAATATTCCTCTTTTTCTTTATTTGTAGGATCACCAAGCCATACAATCTTTAAATCATTTTTTATCTAGTGCTCTGTCACAAATGTCATTAAAACATGGCTTTTTTGTTTTTTTGGTTTACGTATAATTATTTCTGATACTGACTTTATAGAGTCTCTCACTTTCTTCCATATTTCGTCAATTAACATTATGCTATCAAAACGTACATTTCTTAACTGTTCACTTATTCTGTTTTTAAAACACAAACTCTTCTATTAGACTTCTAACTTGGAAACATCATATCTATCCAGAATATTATCAGTAGATCAAGCAGGATTTTTAGTTTTACTTTAATTTTTTCTTTCATGAGACAGTGATCGGAGTCACTATCTGCCCCTCTTACAATCTGAACATCCTGAATAAAGTTGTTGAATCTCAAATTTATTTGGATATGATCAATTTGATATATATATAATTTCGTTCGATGATCTCCAAGTTTCTTTATGTATCATCTTTTGTGACAACATTGTACTTTTTACTACCAAACCGTTTTTAGTTGCCAAATCAATTATTCCGTTATCGTTACTTATGTCATGTAAGCTGTGGCTTCCTATAACTGGTCTGAATGTGATTTCTTTTCCAATCTTCGCATTCAAATCACCAACTACAATTTGAATTCTTCTCCTTGGTATTGTGTTTAGCGTGGTTATTATATTTTTTGTAAAAAAGATCTTTCTCCTCTTGTTGTTCATCTTCTGTAGGAAATTGTAATTTAACGAAACTAATATCAAACCATTGTGTTAAAAAAGTTATAACTGATATTCTAGGAATTACATCCTTAAGTCCTTTATAATTGATATGAAACTTTTATGAAAGGCATAATCTGTACCAAATTGGCGTTGTTTTTACACTTCTCATAGAAAACTGTCATGTTTTGAATATCCATTGATCCTGACTCACTTCATCTAATTTCCTGTAGAGCTCCTGTCTTAAAAAAAGTGCGAACGTTCCATATTTTAAAGAATAAACCATTTTACCAATTTATCCATTATCTCCACTTATCAGAGTCAAATTTATAAATACCTGAACAATAAGCATTTTACAAGGCAGAGTTGTTAGCCCTGCGCTTAACCTCCCGGAGGACCGCAGATCTGGGCCTCGGGTTTCCCAAACTCGTAGAACTAAATAGACCCCCTAAAGGCGGTATAAAATTAATAATAAAATTGACAACTCATTCAATTTATTATTTTTATTAAAATAATATGTTGTTTTGAAACATATTTTTAGGATATTTTAGAATTCATTGAAAATTCACCTTGTGGAGTTATATATTTTACGTTTGGTTCAATTGTGGCTATGTCAACGCTACCAGAAAAAATTGAAAAAGCATTCAAAGAAGCTATTGCACAACTTCCACAAAGAGTCCTCTGGAAATACGAAGGTGAAATGAAAGATAAACCAACCAATGTGATGACAAAAAAATGGTTTCCACAACGAGATATCCTCTGTTTGTATTATTAAGAAGCATACAGATAAATACGCGTAAATTAAATTTTTTTTAATATTAACGTTTGATAATAGTGCACCCGAAAGTAAAATTATTTATTAGTCACGGTGGTATTTCGGGAATGTATGAAGCTGTTGATGCAGGCATCCCAGTGCTTGGTTTTCCTATATTTTATGACCAACCAAGAAATATGGCGAACTTAGTTGATATTGGAATGGCAATTAGCATGGATTTGTTTTCAGTTACAAAAGAAACCTTATTTGATGCTATCAATAAAATAATAAATGATGAAACGTATAAATAATTTTTATATAGTATATTTAAGCAGTAATGATTTTATAAGTGCTAAGATGAACTTATTATACTTTTAAAATCATTAAAATTATATAAATAATAATTTATAATTTTATGTTTTTAACTTTATAGGTATACGAAAAATGCTAAAGAAATATCTATTCAATTCAAAGACCGACACATGTCTCCAGCTGAAACGGTAGTTTATTGGACTAACTATGTCATACGACACAAAGGTGCGCCTCATTTAAAATTACAAGCTTTAAAACTGTCATGGTATCAGTTTTTCTTATTGGATGTTATATCTGTAATAGTTTTTCCATTATTATTTATTTTGTATATCTTATTCAAGTTAAATAGAATTTTTTTCCGAGATATTAAGAAATTTTTTAAAATAAAACAAAACTGACAATTTAATGTTAAAATGTTGTTTGTTAATTTCTTCTAAACTAATTAAAATATTAAAACAAACTTTTTTTTTTACATTTTTAGTAACATATGATTCTTGATATAATAGTTAGTAAGAATTTTTTATTCCATTTCTTATTTCTTATTAGATGTTATGTCAATAATAGTTTTTTCATTATTATTTATTTTATATAAATAAAATAAAATTCTTTTTTGACTTTTATGAACATTTTAAAATAAAATAAAACTGATATTTATAAGTTAATTTATTCACCCTTATTAAACAGTTTTTATCATCATTCAAGTTTTAAATATATAGAAGAATATAAATTTATTGAATTCACACAAATATTTTTTGCATAATTATTGAATTATTATATTATTTGAAGTATTTAAAATGTATTATCTAAATATCTAAGACTTCTCTCCTTTCTTAAATTATTGTAAATATCTGTCACAGCTTGTAGTCACACGCTACAGCTTTATTGTTGTTTTTTCAGTTACAAGAAAGTCCCTTGGACAGCACTGCACAGTAACTTTTATTCAGAATATTATAATTTTATTTTATTTTTATTTCTTTTATGCACTATATAATACATTTCAAATGTTTTTATGTAAAATAAAATAACTTTTGAAAACTATAAAATTCTTAAAAGTTTTTAAAAGGTTAAAAAGGTTTTTAAATGGAATTAATCTATTGGTACTCTACTATTTGAAATCCAACACTAAATGTCTAAACAGTTACCCAACCCAACCAACAACAGAATAGTTGGTTATACTATATGTAATATAGGTCATTATTTTGTAAAACTGAAAATAAAGCATTTTTGTAATGTTTGGATTCCCTGAATTATTGTTACTAGACCAGGAAGTAAATATTTATAAACATTTTTGAAAATTAATGTATTATGGATTTTATAAAAAAGAAAAAGAAAATATTTTAGTATATAAGACGAAATGGAATGAATTGAAAAGCGAGAGAGAGAAGACCTCGGGAGTACCGAAGGTAATCTCTTTCCGTGTGGTACGTTTGTGACATTAAGTTTTCATTTTGTGTATTATTTATTTATCCTGTTTTAGTGTATCATTATTTTGTATGTTTTACTTTGTTTGATTATATCTTTATTAATTACTTTTGCGTTATTATTGAACTATTATTACTATAAATTAGAACAAAAAGATTGTTTCATATTTAAATACAACATATATCTACCTTCTAGAGACACTATCAAGAGACGTATTATACTAAAATTTAAGACTTTCTGTGTAAAATAACGGTATCTAGTTTTTTTTACGCTAATAATAATTATTATTTATAATTAATAAAATGTATGAAACTTCTTTGGATAACTACTGTTCATATACACAGGAAGTAGACCGTATTATCAATGTATTATAATAATATTACAATTAACTTAACTTATATATTATATAAGTTAAGTTAATTCAGTCCAATAAACTATGTCTAATACTATGTCAGGAGTAATGTGTAGTAATAATAATGGACAATGCTCGCGCATCACCTTAATTACATTAAATTCTTAATATGCTCTGAAATACTAGTTCAATAATTATCATCAAATAGTAATTTTATTAATTAAATCATTTTCTATTTTATAATCTAGTTTAAAATGTATGTTTGTTTATAAAAAAAATGAATAAAAACACTAATGAAAAAATTGTCTATCTTATTTTTATCATTGGTTTAAATGATTCACGATTATAAAGTAATCTTTTAACTATATAAAAACAACATTATTAATCAATAAAAAATAATTTTCCTTTGTACCCAGTTGAAATTTTTTTTTAGATATGATAATGTAAAAACACAAAAATAAAATTACCTATAACACAATAATCTTTTTAGATTCCAAATATGCCTTTAATGATGAAATTGTCTCCTATGTGTCATTTGAGTATGTGTTTGACAACATTATACTTATCATGTAATGTAGGATCCAGCTTAGAAGAAGTAAGTCTATGGATTTACAAAATAATGATATTTTTGAAACTATAGCCGAAACCTTAAATTAACAATATAATTATATAATATATAATTTGTTAGGAGTTAACTAAAATTGTGAAAGAAACTTTTGGAATTTATATTCTGAAACCGTTAATTTTAACTATAAAACAAAATTTGCTGCTTTTATTATTAGGGTCGTATACACCACTCAGATGTAAATGCATATTTCAACCTTCAGTATGGATGAACAATGCAATGTATGCAAGCATATGTATACATTTTTTTTGAATCAACATGTTTAAAATTAAGGTCATGGTTAGTTTTTAATTTAAATGATATCTTATGAAATTTTACTTGTCAAGAAATATTTTTATTTATTATTCTAATCTATTTTAAATTTTATGAAAATTATAATTATAATGATATCTGACAGTGATTAAAATCACTATCAAAAATAAACGCTTCGATGCAAATCTTTAGATTGTGTTTAATTTAAAAAAAATTGGTGTATTATTCCAAAAGCTACATGATCTGCTGGTTCCTTATTAATATCTCGATCNAAAAAATTGGTGTATTATTCCAAAAGCTACATGATCTGCTAGTTCCTTATTAATATCTTGATCAGGATAAAGTATGTCGAATGAAAAAGAAATTATTAAAAAATATTATTTCTCATAAAAAAATTATGTTGTTCTATACACTTTTCAATGAGTTATAGCATTATAACGTTAAAAATGTAAAAAATAAAATCGAGAATTTTCACCGTGAAGACAAAAAAAGTCCAAAAATTTTTTTTTGCATAATAAAGTACATTACATTAGCTTTAATTTAAGATATATATAAAAGCGTCAGACTTTTCGGAACACTTTCAAAAGTTATGTTGAAAAAGTTCTACTTTCTACATGCATATTTTAGATTTGAACCCAGGCACGTAGACATGGGTGGGCCTGGCTCTCCTTAGATTTAATGTGGCCTAGGCCTAAATTCCCAAATTTAAAATTCAATTATTTTTACGAATTATCAAAAACGTGCTAGGCCTTATATACATTTAAATTATTATTAATTTGTGATTACTATTGATTAATACAGTTATTATTATGGCTGTATTTTCATTTTTATATTCATAGAAAACGATATTTGAAAAAGATAACGTTCTAGATGTAATAATAAATGGAATAGCAGTTACTCCAAACGTGGTTGTAGGTAATTTTTTTTTAACTCTGGTCCAACAAATGATAACAAACTACCAAGTATCTGCATTGATTAGAATCTAGTTGATTACAAAATTCGATAGAGTATACTCTATGAAAATTTTTTTGATAAATCTTATCTTTAATTTGTTCCATTTTTAATAATTTAGTAGTTACAATAGGTAATTTATTTGTTTTTGTTAATTTGTTATTTGCGTGCTCTAAACAATAGTAATAAAAATATGACTAAAAAAAGGCAGGAATTGTTTTTAATTTTAAATAAAATAAATTTTACATTGTTTATAATTTATATTTATTTTAAAAATTTTTGTAACTTATTTGTTATTAGTATTTAGGTATAAATTATTTTTTCTTAATAGCTTAAAAGTTGAAAAATTAAATCAGCTTATGTTCACATCATTATTTTATTAGCTTCGATGCAAAGCTGAGAAGGTATTGGTTTTANTCGATGCGAAGCTGAGAAGGTATTGGTTTTATTATGATGTGTTTTTTTAAATTTATTTTATCATAACTTTTAGCTGAATTGGTAAGTTTGAAATTGACATCATCAAATAGAAAATTTTATGAGAATTAAAAAAATTGTATCGTTAAGAGTAATATGCAGTTAGGAAATTTTGTAATTACTATTTATAGTAAATTTATCAAAGTAGATCAATTTTTTTTTGCATTTTTATCGTAATAGATAACTATAATTGAAGTAATAGTAATAACTTCCTAGTAACTATTGGTGTTTGAAAAGATTCTGCAATTGAAATATTCAGAACTTAATTAATTTTAATGATTTACTTTAACTAAATGAACCAATCAAAACAAAGTTGTTAAAAAGATTTACTCAATTGAGCGTATAATACAATTTGATTATAATTGTAAAAATCCACTGTCAATTCAGGAGAAACTAACAATTATTTTTTAGTTTCGACCCGAAGCTGAGAAGGTATTAATTTTACCATGATGTGATTTTTTTTTTGTGTCTGTTACCACTTTTTCTCAGTCTCACCGAACCGATTTCTTTCAATGGTACGTCAAAAGATCACAAATCGTATTTAGTCGAAGACATTACCCTCAAAAATTTGAGTGAAAGTGTTCCGGAAATACTGACACTTTTATATATATCTTAAATTAAAGCTAATGTAATATACTTTATTATGGGAAAAAAAAATTAGAAATTATTTATATAGCAACATGTTACCAAAAAATTTGGAATATTATAGTCTAGTAGTAGCACACACAAATAGAGTAAAAAAATTATTAAATTACAAAGTAAAATGATTTAATTTTGTAGTTGAAACCTATCATATCAAACTTGATTCTTCAATAAATACTTTGAAAACATTAGAAATGAATGATTTTAATTGTCTGTATCGAGAACATGGGATAAGTAACTGTTTAATTGATAAATTAGAATTTTTTTTCAATTTTTGAGGATAATATCTTCAACTAATTGTAATCATTTGACGTATCGTTGAAAAATATAGGTCAAGTTAGTGCAGAGAAAATAAATGATAGTCACAAAAAAATACCTTCTCAGATTTGCACCGAAGCTAAAATCGAAAATATAGTAAAAAAATTTTAATGTGAATAAGAAATTTCTTCTCGCATAGGGCGACTAAAGTGATGGGATCCTTGATCTTTATTTAAGTTATTCAATCTAAATGAGATAAAAATCAAACGAGTTGAAAATTTATTCTAACTTAAAAAGAATTAAGAAAAAATGCAAAAAATTGTCTTGCCTACGCGGGTTGGAATCCTGTATCCCAAGCGTGTAAAACATAAGTTTTACCAACTCGGCAACCGTACGTTGCAACCGTCGCTTGAAAAAATTGGCTATTTAAGCTAGTTCAAATTTC